AAGGAGGGAAGGAGGGAGGGAGGGAGGGAGGGAGGGAGGGAGGGAGGGAGGGAGATGGGTAGGTCGGTCTAGGATTATCCCTGGCAACAGAGTTTGAGACCAGCCTGGGCTACATGAGACCCTGCCTTAAAAAAAGCAAATAACAGAATCAACAGAAAAATAACCCAACTCCACTACCACAGTGAAAATAAACCAAAATTGCACATTAATACATGTTCACAGGAAAATGATGGATAAGTATCCATTATGGAGAATATTAACAGTTTAATCTAATTTTTAATCTCCATTTTAACCAGAACGGAAAGCTACTTGAACAGGAGAGAAGCAGTAAATGTCAGCTTGGCACGTCAGAAGCATGACTGGCAAGGCTGCAAGATAGGAAAACACTTCTTGCAACATAAAAACAAGACATTAAAACTATTTCCCAAAGGTCAAAACATAGGAGATGGGCAGTTCTGGTCACAATTTGAAGAGCTGTTCCTCTTTGCTTTCTCCTGCCATGATAAACCATGACCAAAAGCAACCAGGGGAGGAAAGGGCTTATCTTAGCTTACAGTTTAAAGTCCTTCATGAAGGGAACTCAGGACAGCAACCTGGAGGCCGGAATTTGAAGCAGAACACACAGGAACACGAGGAACGATGCTTACTGGCTTGTTACCATGGCTTGCTCAGCTTGTTTTTTTTATACAACCCAGGACACCTGCCCACAGTGAGCTGGACCCTCATATACATCAATCAATCTAGAAAAAGTCCACAGCCTTGCCTATAGGCCAAACATATTTAGTAGTTTTCTCAAACTGCCATTCCCCCTTTCAATATGACAAAAAAAAAAACAAAACAAAACAAAAAAATCTAGAAACTACACAGCAGTCTCCAAAGTGCCATTCAGGAAGAGAAACTCTCTATAGGCAACAGGACAATTCAGGCAGGACAGGAACAGCTGTGGCAGTTAATCACAGGACCAGGCAGTCAGAAGCAGGCGGTTCTCTCAGTTCAAAACACAACAAACAAAACACCCAGGAACAAATTAATAAAATATGAACTATTCCTCCAATAATGTAGCTACTGGAAGCTAATGTGGACCCAGAGTGAGACAACCAGAACTGCAATTTCCTCTGAACTCTCCCTGTGCTGCTGACCTTGTCAACCTGACACAGACTGCAGTCACTTGGGAAGGGGGAACTTCAACGGAGAAAGTGCTTCCACCAATTGGCCTGTGGGCAAGTTTGTGGGAAGTTCTCTTGACTGATAATAGGCAGGGGCCCAGGTCCAGGTCCTGGGTGTTCTATGAAGGCAGGCTAAGCAAGCCATAGGAGCTCCATAGCTGCTGCTTCAGCTGCATCTCCAGGTTTCTGCCCTAACTGCCCTCAGTGATTAAGATCCCCTACCCCTACCAAGTTGCTTTCAGTCAAGGTGTTCATCACAGCAAAGGAGACCCTAAGACTCCCACCCCCTCCCCCTGCCACCCCCAGCACCGTTCTGCTACAAATGCAGCCAGCACTCTTGCAAATACTTTACAGGAACTTAGAAAAATTCAACACTGTTCAGGTTTATTTAGAATGCATACCTGGTAATACATGGAATAAAGTTTTATGCACAATAATTAAAACTTAAAAGCTGGTTTATTTTACAGTGGTCAAGTTTGGGGGTAAATGGTGTAAAAACTATGGCACTTTCATAAAGTTAAATACTGTATGGATACACATTTTCAAACATTTAATTTTGATTAAATTAAAATTATTAAATTAAAACTCTAAACTAGACTGCTGTGGTTGGGAAGATGGCTCACTTGTTACACAAGCACAAGAACCCATTTGGATCCCAGGCCCTCCATAAAAATCAAGGGTTGATTCCGGTGCTGTAGAAATAAAGATGAGACACCTAGTGCTTTCTGGCCGGCCAGTCTAGCTGAACTGATGAACTGAAGGTTCCGTGAGAGACCCTGTCTCAAAACAAAATAAGGTGGAGAAGCAATTGTAGAAGACACCTGCTTCCGCCTAGATCTAGCCTCCACATGCATGTACATATAGGAATCTACACACGCATTTGAAATCACATATACACAAGCACACAATAAACTATACACATGTACACATATACATATGAACCTACATATACACACATATATACATGTGAACCCACATACACACATGTACACAAAATATAAAATGCCATTGGCCACAACTACCACCTACTTAATGTGGAAACCAGTTTTAAAACATCTACTTCCAATCCTAACACATATAATTTTTTTTTAGATTTTTTAGATTTATGAGTGTTTTGCCTACATGTACAGGTGTGTACCATGTGCATGTCTGGTGCCCACAGAAGTCAGAAACCACCATATTCGCTGGAACTGGAGTTACCTAGGATAGTTATGAACCATCATGCGAGAGCTGGGAATTGAACCCCAGTCCTCTGTTAGAACATCCAGGGATCTTAAGTACTGAGCCATCTCTCCAGCCTTAAGATGTAAACTCAACAATCTTCATAAGTAAGAGGAAACACGACCCTTTCAGATGTAAATGCATCCCCAAAGTCTTAGTGGAGCTAAGGATACTTTGTGAAATGTAGAAATGTTCTGTAGCAACATATTTTTTATTTTGTGAGAACAAAGTACTTCCAGTTATAACCAGCAAAGTTTTATTATGACCAATGAACAAACTACACTTTCAGAAAGCAAGAAAAATCCAAGCCTGACTTCATCTGCATGAAAACGCAATTTAGTCTTTTGACAGGGTCTCACTATGCAGCCTAGACTGGTCTTAAATATACAATCCTGCTTCTCTACTTCCAACAGAATCTGCCATTCACAATGAGAGGCAATTAAGAGATAAACCCCATGTATATCATTTAATATCTACACATGAAATATCAAGCAAATCATAGTGATAATGGTTTGTCTTTAAAACTTGGATTGGCAGCATTAAAACTTGCCATTGTCTTTTTGTGTAAGTATCATGAACCCAATATTCACAGAGATTATGGCTGGCATGTAAAATCAAGGCTAATTTTTATTTTATGCTTTATTTTCCTGCTTTTTTTGTAAGGCAAATCTTATTTTTATATCAGAAAAGCTTATAAATACTGAAAAAAAATGTTAAAAATGTTTTGTAATGATATTTGCTTGTATACCCCTGTTTGTTCAGTCTTTTAAAATTTAGATTTATGAAAGTATATTTATAATGAAAAATAATGAAATATTTTCATTGTGAAAAAATGTTCACAATGAAAATATCAGTCATTTCAAGCTCACTTAAAAATTCCATCTTCAGAAGAGTTCTGGGTTTAATTGGTGATAGTAACATTGTATCAGTCAGTTACTTGCATGAACGATGTGTAGACGATCAACTATAGAACACTGGGAAGAAAAAAGAAATGTATTAAGACTGGGGTGATACAGATGGAGCAGTCGGCTTACCTGACTAAGGAGCACTTGCTAATTCCAGAACGAGAATGTCAAATGCACTGAGTAGATGGCAGAAATGCTCTTTTAGCAAGAGAAAGAAAAGCATAGAAAACAGGCTGTGCTATATCATCTCAGCATGTCAGAGTCAGCATGAAAAATAATATATCAATTCCATGTTAAAAAATGAACCATAGGAAAGCTATCCACAAAGGTTAAAATATAGAAGGGACAATTCTGGTTTCAAAAATGAACTGAACAGCCTCTATTTGTAAAACTAAGAGCTTGGGGGAGGGGGGGAAGGCAATACAAGAAAATACCGGTTAAATAATTTTATTGAAGAAATTTTGTAACTTGATATGAAAAACAAGGCAATTCTAATAGGTATCACAAGGAAAAGGACATGGACATTTGACCAAAGAGAAAAATGAAGCTATTCAAAATACATAAGCATTCATTCTTCTTGTTTATTCAATACACATTACACAGTTAGTAGCAATTTTTACCTTAACTTCTAAAAGTATTCAATATGTCTAATCTAAGTAATAAAAAAAATGGAGTCATTACAAAAACACAGAAAGCAAGAAATTTTCTGTCAATGTAGAAATCATAAAGAGCATTAAAATAAATCAGCCCTTGTATGGGCATAAGTAAAGTTCAGATTCCAGAAGTCACACCCTTTCCCTCGGTCTGCATTCCACTGAGAGACTGACTGTCAATGGCACTGCTCTCCCAGGGCTGGCCATACTCACATCTATGTATGTGCATTTTTCTCCTTCAGTTGAACTACTTTTCCAGGAATGCACATACTCAGTATCACTTATTACCAAGGACCACTATAATGCCATTTGTCCCTTTAAGATTTTCCCCTGTAATTCTCAGCCAGAATGTATTCCCACAGTACTGAAGACTGAAGGTCTACTTTAGCCCTGCCTTAAAGAAACCAGCTGGCTTGTCAGGGGGTCTTGAGTCAAGGCTTGAGAAAAGGACTATTTCTGATTTGATGGAACAGGATCTGTTTGCTCAGACCTCAGCCTTGAGGGCTCACACAGCTCAGGATGCTTATCAGCTGCAGCACCAGAAATCACTCAGAATCAGACAACAAGCATGTCAGAGTGACAAAGGCGGGAGGTCAAACTCAAAATCCTATAGCTTTGTTCAGAATGTTTAACTTTCATTGCCGAATTTCATTTAAATTTCATTGCCGAATGAAAAAATTGGGAAAAAATAATTCCCAGAAACTTGGCTTTTGCTAAATAATGTATATACATGTAAATGCAGAGTATACAGAAAAACTAATTAAATTTCATTTAAAGAAACAATCTCATTAAATGACAAATTTGGCTGTCAATTTGTTGTAGCCCTTAACTACCTAAATTTTGCTTAGGACTTTAGACACTAACTCTCTGGATTGAATTTCCATCGAAATAAAATTAGCTGCTTTCTGGAAGAAAACATTAGTTCATTTTTACTACAATCGAAGTTTCTATCGATCCTAAAAGTTTATACGTATGTACACATGAATTTTATGTGAGCATGTCGATGTACACACTTTAAATTTTTTTCTCCAGTGAGATAACAAATTCTGACTATTTCTTCTAATATTTTTACTACTTTTTCTACCTAAGATACTTAATATATTCTAGGAGTGATCACATAGCCTATTTAACAAACAGTCAAAAACTATCCAAGAGGGAGGTAGCTGAACCTTGGCAATCTTGTATTATCTTAGTTTATAACAGGGGACCTCCATTTGATGTTTCAGTCAAATCAAAACTTTCAACTTTGTAGCATAACCGACAATTACACATCCACTATGATCACCTACAACTGGACATGTAACACCACAAAAGACAACTTTTATAGATCTTTTCCACTTGTTAAACAGCTAAATATATTTAACACATTTTTCAGAATATACTTGTTAGTCATTTAATAAACAAACAAACAAACACCCCTAAGTTACCTTTTTGTCTATTAACGGTAGTAATAGAGACAACTGGAGGGGAACTAGAATCTCCACGACACACTGAAAAGGCATTCCCTTGGATCTAAGAATGATCTGAAGGTGCTGACAGAGGGGACTCTCTAGAAGGCGACCCCGGGTTTTCTTCCGGTGGGAACACTGTGAGAGTGCACGCCCGAATGCCGCCAAGAGACTCTGGAAGATCAAAGACTTTATGCCACTCATCTTTTTCCGGGTCGTACTTCTGGACAATTTCTACCATGCAACGGTTATTCCAAGAATATCCACCAACCACGTAGATTTTGTTTTCAAAGACAGCAACTCCAACATCACTTTGACCTCTTAGCATAGCAGCAATGGGAGTCCACTGGTCCAGAGTGGGCGAGTAGTATTCACAGCTTAGAACATCATCGTAATCGCTCGTGCCTCTGAAGTGGTTGCCACCAATCACATAGAGCTTGTCTCCAACGGTACACATGCAATGCAGTCCTCGGACTGTAGTCATGGGAGCCTTCTGTGTCCACTTGTCTGTATCCGGGTCAAAGCACATGAGCTCATTTTGGAAAGTGTCATGGGTAATTCCTCCTGAAATATACATTAACCCCCCATACACTGTTCCAGCATGGCCATAGTGGGGTTCACTCATCTTCGCAACATAGCTCCATTCATTCATTCTTGGGTTGTAACATTCTACTGTGGCCAGTTCCCCAGCTGCACTGCGCCCGCCAACTGCATATAAATGTCCTTTGAGGGCACTCAGGTGAAAGAACGTGCGCTTTTCATTTAAGGATGCCACCTGCATCCACTTATTATAGCGCGGGTCAAATCTGAAAACTGTATCAACAGCAGTCTTCCCTTTTGTATCATAATTACTCTGCCCACCAACTACATAAAGGAAATTTCCAATAACAGCAATGCCATGCTGGTAGCGAGGAGCATCCATGGGGGCTAACGATTTCCATTCCTGTGCCCTTTCATCATACATCCGCAACTCTTTACTGACAACCAGCTGCTGCCTCAAAACTCCCCCTAGCGTAACCAAGTGCGTAGAGTCAGACCGAATGGCAGTTCGGTCAGACTGCATCACCGGCTGCATATACGGCATCATTTGGTAATTGCTTGCTTCCAGAAGTAAGTTCACACACGTATTGTCTGTTCTCATGAAATCCACTGTCTGCACATAGTTGATGAGGTCCTGTGGTGTCATCAGTGGAAACCGAATATTCTTCATTAACTTTGCGGCATAGTCCATCCGAGGGTCTTCCAGCCGCAACCAGCGGCAGGCGGCCTTGAAGAGTTCAAGCTCGGAGCAGTGCTTGAGACTATTGCTGGAAAGCACAAAGGCCAGCCGCTCAAAGGGGAGTTTGAGAAACTCCCCAGTGCTCAACAACGCAGGGAAGTTCTTCAGGATGAAATTGTTTACGTATTTATCCACTTCTATAAGATTGTAGGTGTTGGCAATCCGTCCAACCTCAACACAGTTTTCTAAAGAGACGCCTGATATAAGAAAGACTTTACAAAAGTCCAAAACGGGTAAGATTTGTAGAAAGCTGGCCGCTTCGAGGGTGTCCTGAAGATTGTCCATATTAAGGGACAGTTTGGCGGTGTAAATAAAATCAATGATTTTCTTCAGGCCAATCTTGTTCACCCCGTGAAGCTTAATGCACATTAAATCTTGCTCTTTCATTCCCCCTGTGAACATGGCCTTGAAATAATCACTGGCAGACGCCATCATGGCTCGGTGGACCGGGAAGATTTCATCGCCATCGCCTGGCACCAGAGTCACGTCACAAAGCAGCCCCTCTATTCTGAGCTGATCAAAGCCTTGCAACACCACAGTGCTGTGCGTGTTGCTGGTGAAGAACCGCGTCGTTCCCGCCTTGCAGGGCTGCAGGTGGGCAGAGACGCCCATCTCGCCGCTCCCGACAGACACCTTCATGTGAAAGCCCCGCGCTCGCCGCGAGCCGTAGGCCGCCGACGTGGCAAAGAGGCCGCTACGGGCTGATTCGGGGCCGCCGATGCAAGGGCCAGCGGTCGCCGCAGCTGCACCGCTCCGCGCCCCGGGACGCCCGCCTCGCCGCAGGACCACGCAGCGCCGCTCAAATCTGACGGCGGTGCGGCTGAGTCATAACCCGAGGCAGTTACGGAACCGTTTCACCCGGGCCGGGCCGCGCGGGCGTCCGCCGCAGCTGCGCTCAGGGCGGGGGAGGGGCCGTCACGGCCTGCGCACCGCCGCCGCCGATGCCCGCCGGGCTCCGCACCTCTGCTGCGTCCTCGGATGTCCCCCACCGCGTCGTCACGGCCACCGGCTCGACTTGGAGCAGGACCTGGAACCGCGGCTTGGGCCTGGAACGGCGGCCTAGACCGGACACCTAGCCCGTCCTTCCGGAAAGACCGAATCCCAGGATCCCCCGGGTTAGGAGCGGCTGCGCTGCTACTGCGCCTGCGCGGCTGGCCTGGCTGTGGGGGGGGGGGCGGATGGGGGAAGGGCGCGGGCGGGTTGGGGGCGGGGTTACGCTCCGCCAGCGCGGCCGTGGACGGGGTCCAGCTGGCCAGTTTGCGGGAGTGCGCATGCGTCTTTTACGCTTGCGGAGGGAGGTTTCCTGAATGCTTTCCAGGGTTTCCGCTTACCGTCTCCTGCCAGAACAGCCTCGAAACGTAGCCTTTGTTAAAACTGAGAAGAACATGGCAGAAGAAATCACTGTATCATCGAATTTTTTTTTACTTTAAAAAACAGTTTTTACAGTTTAGATCACACTCAATAAACACTCCAATTAAAATATTGCTTGTGAGGTTTGTTTTTAATCATTTAACTTGTTACTAAAATTTAGTCCTAATGATACATTTTGAATATTCGGCAGGAGCTATAATGCCGCCATAAATATTTAATTAATGGTTGTGTTGTCCAAGCAATAGTTTTAAGTGGTTATACAATTTCCCAATAATTAACATGTCATAGTTTACTTTGCCCACTGTTTTCTCCTAAATGTACAAATCTTGTCCTCCATTGTCTTTTGAAATATGTAACAAGCTTAAGAGAATTTGGACACAAAATTTATTCTGTATTGGATGATGATAACATTTGGCAGAAAATGCTAGTCAATGTTCCCAAAATATTGTGACCAGCAATGCTTGGGTTTGCATTTGCCTTCTGTTGAATTTCCCTTTTGTGGGTATTTTTATTAATGTGCAGTTCTTTAACTAATAGAAACCTCTATTTTATATTTGAAAACAAGTATATAATTTGTCATAACGCTCTATTCTCTGAATTTGACCTTATTGCTACCTTTCAAATCTTTCTAGAATTTACTTGTATGCAAACTAAGAATATACTTAGCCTTCTCTTCTGCTTCTTAGTTCTTTTCTAAATAGCATATATCCTGTTATATCTTTCTGGTTGTTTTTTTTTTTTTTCAGTTCAAGGTTTTCCAAAATTGGTATATAGAGAGCATGCTTGCAACATGTTGTTCACCACTGAATGTGTGCACCATAAATTAGTTAACTACGAGTGATTAATCTTTCTCCTTTTCTTTCTCCCTGCTGTTCCTGTGGAATTGCAGCAACCCCCGGAGGCTGCTAGACCAACACTGTTTTCCCAAGGTGCTCTCGCAGCCATCCTGCCTGTTTGATACCAGAGCTTTGTTGAAATGAAACCCGTCTTGAGACATTCTTGTGGCCAGGGACGTTCTGGAAGGATATTTGGTACAGGAGTTGAAGAGAGCATTCCCTAACTTGCTGTGAAATGTGGGCTCGGCTGTAAAGAGGGATTTCCGAGGGATTGCTTTCTACCTGGAAAAGAAAGAAGAAAGTCACTGTGCCTGAGTAGGTATCAGAGTGAAGATCACATCAGTCTTTTTATCATTAAGCTTGCAAGATTAATAGATGGGAAACCAGAGACGAACATTAATGGTTATTAGAGACAGCTGCTTTTTCATATTCCAACTTTTAATTATTGCAAAAGACTGTTGTTTTCTGCTTTCAATATGAAATGAATCCATTTTGTCATAACATTTGGTGGTCATGTTAAATAGCTATGTGTTAAAGCATCTACTTGGGGCATCCGCCTACTAGGCAGCATTATTTACTCATATGCTTTTTTATTATATAATAATAATAATTATTATATAATCATATAGCATGTATATGTTATATATGATTATATATTTTATTATATCAATTCTAATTGGTTTATTATAATTGTAATTTATTAAATCTTAGTATTTAGAAAATATATCATGTTCACCTTCACATTTCAGTAGTAACAAAAAGTTTTTAACTCACAGTTTTAATTCATTTTTATCACTTGAAGTTTTACTTTTAGACATTTCATGTTTACTCTTAAGTCAATGTGAAGGCTGGCTTTTTTATTCTCAAATGAAGAATGAAGATCCAGTTTATTCAAGTTATAAGTAATAATCATGTGATAGCTTTCAGAACATTGTAACATGGTGTAAACAACAGGGATTTTGTTTTAAATTCTTGGGAATTCCACGTTTTTAGTAAAATTATTAGTTGCTTTGAAACAATCTTCCTGTGTGATGCCCACTGGCCTCTTTTGTGCTGGCTAGAGATGAACATCACCACTCTAGGCTCAGATAATCAATTTTAATTATATTATATGCTTCAAATATATTTATATATATATTTGAAGGCAAAAGGAAAGTGTCTTCATCGTAAGAAACTGGAAGGTTCAGAGGTTCGAACTTGACACTGCATATCGCTCTGCGATTTACAGAGCGTAGGGGTTAGAGGTTCTAACTTGGGAACTAGACTAGAGCTGGTCAGTCAGCAGAGGCCAAGGATGACGGGAGTCTCAGAGTAAAATGAGGTCCAAAGCTAAATCATGGGAGCTTTGCCTCACAGTGAAGGGAAGCACAAAGAGGAACTCGAAAGGCACTGGGATGGTGTGGAGGGACAATTGGAGAGGCCCAGGCGAAATGGCGACAAGAGAGTATATTACAGAAGAAACACGTTTAAAAGGCATTGCTTTGGGGTCAGAGAGCTAGTCCAGCATGATGATCCATAAGTTGGAAGAGACAACCGACTCCTACAAGTTGTCCCGCAGCCTCCATGTGTGTGACCCTCAGCATACACGGAGTAAATAGTAAAGGACTGAAATGTTTATACTTACTTTTAACTAATAATTTTTTTAAAGAGTTTATCTTACTTTCTGAGAAGGTGGAGGCTGGTTTTCAGAATTAACTCCACCAAATTCAGAATGGAAAAATTAACCTCAATACTTTGGCTCTTGTCATCGTCTTTCTTACAAAACAAGAGCCACAGAAAGGACCAGCTCAGGCAAAGCATGCATCTTCGTCCCAGAAGCAGATATAATAACATATAATATAATATAAATAGTATAATAAACATGTTCCTTTCCTGGAGTCTGTTCTGCTGGACCCTGATTAATGACATATCTACACTAAGCTGGGAGGTAGAAAGAATCTGAAATTCTGATGGCTAAATTGTAAGCAGTTTTCAATGAGCTTCATGTTGAACAGTGCATCAAATACCCTTTTCCAGTAGATTCTCAGCATCATGAACTCACTGGGTAAGAGGTCTCTTGACGTTATCACTACAAATGTATTTCAGCATATCTGTGGGTTAGGAGTGCACCACCATTCTCTATCTATGACACAGTAGTAAAAGGGAAGCTGGACTCAAGCTTTGTCCAGACTCTAGAGATTTACTAATCACCTCTTGAGGAAACCAAGATAGTTATTGCGTCTTTCATGGCCCTAATCGCTTGGAACAGTCCTTAACTCACAGTGATAAATACCTGAGGCTTGCGTCTCACTTTCCTTCAGAGCACGGATTGCCTAAGGTTGTTAGAAGCGGCATATCCTCTGTCCATACTGTCCCTGGAAGATTTCCGGAAGTCACTGCAAAGAGAGGACTTGTGATTCATCTCAGGACGAACACTAGCGGATGGGGTAACCACTGACACCTCACTAAAACCCACCACAGACCTTGTAGCAAATGGCTAGTCTTAACATCAAACCAGTCTTTTTGTGAAGTTCCAAAGGTTTCAAAAGAGCAAATGTTAGTGTGGACAACTACATTCCTGAAGTAACCACAGACTCTCCTTATTAGGAGATGAACCTCTGCAACCCCCGAGGAACATTCCAAGGAAAATAAGACAAACTTCAGGTAGAGCAGGTCAAAAATTTTGGAAAGTGGATCTCTAGTCTCATTTTCCACAGCCAGGCAATGGAGTTGAGTTTGCCAGCGTGGACCTTAGTGAGCCCTGGCGAGATGGCATGCTAGTCTCCGTTGCCGGGCATTTTCTGCCAGTTGCAGAAGTCAGTTCCAAGGTGCTGTCAAATCTCTGTTCTTTTTCATGGATAAGGCCCAGGTTGAACAACAACGCTATATAATTTGCTATTCCATAAAAATGAAACTTTTCCTTCTTTCCTTCTTTTACATAGGTATAATCACACCCTTATTTTCCAAGTTGGTTCCTAAGTTGCAAAAGTAAAATGAACAGAATTGTGATGGACAAAATATACTCCCTGGCCCGTGTTCCCACCAAAGGTCACAAGGACGCCGGCTTCCAGGTTGCCACCGGAGACCATGCTGGAGTCCAAGGGACATGCAGCTGCCAGGGCCATGCCAACCTAAGTGGCCTGTAGTGCCACGTGTGGCCTTGGAGTCGTCTGGGCCTGCATTGCTGCTGAGGGCCGTGTCTGGATCCGTGGCCCACCACAGCCAGGGGCCACACTGATGTCTGGGGATCGGGTTACCACCAAAAGCAGTACAGATGTCTGGGTTTGGGCCAACACCCGAGGCCATGTTGGTGCTGGAGGATCATGCTGCCATTGGCCATGCAAATGAAGGTGACCTGCACTGCCACCTGGGGCCATGTCTGGGTCCGGTGCTCAGCTGCAGCCAGGGTTTGTTCTGAGGTCTGTGGCTCCTGTTGCCATTAGGGGCTGTTCAACTTTTTGGGTTCTCTACAGCCACCTGGGACCATGTTGGAATCCGAGGACCATGTTGCTGCTGGGCCCATTCCAATCTGAGAGGTATATGCTGCCACCCAGGCCCGTGGTGACTTTCAGGCCCAAACTGCTGCTGGTGGTCATGTCTGGTTCCATGATCCTGTCACAGCTGGGGTCTGTGTTGATGTCCGTTGCTTATGTTATCACAAGAGCCCATGCAAACCATGTGTTGAACCATGAGTTGAAGTACAAGGGCCTCATGGAGCTGGTCCTACCCCTCACTCGTCTGAGGAGAGCTGCCTTCGCTTTCTTGGAGAGCTGACCCCATCCTTTGGTGGCCCTGGGATTATGGACCCCAGTGACCCCAGCACAGGAAAGCTGACCCCACTCGCATTAAGAGATTGGCTCCCCACACTTGGGAAAGATGGCCCCACCCTTCACCACAGGTGTGGGAGAGTAGGTCCCCCAGCTGGGACTGAGCGATTCAGCAGTCACCCAGGTACACAAAGGAGGAAGAGTGGTGTGAGTGAGCCTGAAAAGCTAACAGGAGGGTGGAGGGGAGAGGAGATACATAATTTATGGCTATGAGGAGGAAACCAAGTCTGTCCAAATAACACCCAGGCTAGTCGCAGGGAAATACTTGGATTCAAAGATAATGACGTGGGGCTCAGTCTGGGTCACAAAGGCCCATCTGCCCCCCACCCCCAGGAACCCATCTCGGAAGAGGTTCTGCAACAGTACTTGTCCCCTTCAGATAGTTGCTTTACATGTGAGAAAATTAGCTATTAAACAGTGGGTATCGACCTGGGTGATAGACTTTGCTGGCCCAGATGCCAAGATCATGATGCCAGGGTCAACCTGAAGGTCTGTTGCATTTGTTTCGAAGATACTTTGAGAAAACTGTAGAATGGTGGTTTGCATAAAAATCTGGAAGTCGTTATTAACTTTCTGTATTGACTTTCCATCACTATAACAAAGCATATGACACAGACTACTTAAGAAATAAAAGATGAGTTCATTTGAGCTCTAGCTCAAGTCCAAGGTCAGCTGAACTAACTTGGGCCTTAGGAGAATCCATGCTGACAGGAACATGCATTTGTGCATTGGACAGTGAGAGAGGGAGGACAGACAAGAAGGTGGAGGAAAGGGAGAAGAAGGGGTGTGAGGAGGACTGGGGAAAGGAGAGCGAGGGAGGGACAAAGGGAAAGAGTGAGGAGGATATGAATTATCACCCACAACCCCATGGAATGAACAGCATGCTCCCTACCCGTACAGACCTAAGAGCCTGCCACTGAGTTCTACCCTTCGAAGGCCACAACACTACACAGCACCACCCCCAGGGAACCAGGCCCTTGGAGTACATTTTGTACACCAGCTATAGCAGCCACTAAACCTGGTTCTGACTCGTCCTTGAGTACCATCCTTCTATTCTGTCACAATGGTCCCCTCTGGCCAGGTGTAGAAACCCCCAGGGTTCTCTCCTCACCCTCTCCACGTGATCCTGCCTTCTCCTCTGAGCAGCTGCTTTCTTTCTCAAGTTGGTTTCTGGCTTTAATTTGTCCCTTAAATTGAAAGCAAAATTTGAATGAAAGTTGAAGTTTTTTTTTTTTCTTTCAGAAATTTCCATATATAAAAGATGGTCGTCGCCTTCCCCACATAGCCCCTCCCCCATCTGCTCAAGACTTTTAGAAACAAGGGAATGCCCTTGTTATGAAATGACGACTCTGTGGCAAAAAGAAAGTGAAACCTTTAGTCAGTTCACACTAGGGTCCTTAGGGAGGGGTGAGAGCCTCCTGGTGGGCGAGAGGCACAGAACCCCTGTGCTCTGCAACTCTGCAGAACTCCACCTCCTGGCAGATTTTTCTCCACAGTTAAATGAGCTCTTCCTTGAAAAGAACTGACCCTATTATTGGGTAGAATTGTGTCTTTGGGCTTTCCCATCTTGGAGAAAGAACATTCAGCTTCAAGTGCAGCAAACTGTCAGTGAGAGAGTGGTAGCCTGTGCTCCTGAGCTGCAGCTTGCTCAGCCCCACTGCATATGCATTGAACTACTGAACTGTAGACTAGGAGCGGGGGCCTGGCAATTAAAATGTGGGCCTGCAGGGAGGTCAGGAAGTACCATTGACAGCACATGCATTTTTATGTGTAAGCTGCCAATTTTAGGAATTAATTACTCCTGTCAGAATGTGTTATTTGACTTCATGATCAGGAGAAAATTCTCACTTCAACTTGAATAGTGACTTTGCATCCCCTCCACTTCTGCTTTTATCCATGGAAGAACTAAATATAGACACACAGATATAAGAGATGTCAGAGAAGATGATTGTAGTTGTTTGTTTTTAAAATCTTTACTCTTTTATCATTTCTCTGTTTTGGCTCTTTGCTCTTTGGGGGTTCACCACCCAGCTTCCAAATAAATAACACACAATGGTTTACTATTACTTATTATGAATGCCTAACCTTAGCTTGGCATATTTCTAGCCAGCTTTTCTTAAATTATCCCTTCTGTCTCTTGCCTCTGTGACTTTTACCTTTTCTTACTTCTGTATATCTTACTTCCACTCTCATTCTGTGACTGGCTGAGGATCTGGGTGGCTGTCTGGTAGCATCCTCCTTTTCTGTTCTCTTGTTCCTTGGTCTTCTCCTCCCAGATTTCTCTTCTTAATTGTCTCTGACTGCAGGCCCTACCTATCCTTTATCCTGCCTTGCTAATGGCTGTTCAGCTCTTCATTAGACCAAGCAGGTGTTTTAGACAGGCATAGTAACACAGCTTCACAGAGTTAAACAAATGCAGCAATAAAGAATGCAACATGTCTTTGCATCAAACAAATGTTCCTTGGCACAAATAAATGGAACACATCCTAAATTAATATTCCACAACAGATGATGATTGCCAGCTGATGGGTATCATATACAAACAGAGTAGAGGTATGAAGGAAGTGGCTGCAATATTCTAATTGAAGAAGTAATCAAGAAACCTACGTCTATGAGGCTAGTTTGAGTAAGGAGTGGCTTTAGTTTAGGAGGTATCGCTCAGATCAGCCTGGGTTACAGATGACACATTCAGATTGCTTCTCAACATGTAGGAGTTAGGAAACTAATGTTTCCATTAAATCATTTTTTTGGCCCTTTCATTTTCTTCCATCCCAGGGACCAGTTTAGAAAATGGAAACAAACATCTTGGGTCTCAACTGCTTCTTTCTGTGGTGACCTAAACACCTCCAAGTCTCTGGTTGCTATTTCCTTTTCAATGCAACTTGCTTTTTAGTTTATATTTGTTGTTCTTGTTGTTTTTAATTATAATTTGGGGGCATTAAAGTTCTGGGATTTGGCTCTGTTCTCTTACATTTTCTTGAAAATACCTATGACCAAATTCTCACTCACCTGCCAGAGCTAACAACTTGCTAGAGACATGAAGTGTTGGAGACCCAAATGTGAGGACCCAAATACCAGAATACAGCTGAGGAAGGGATCCCGTGTGCGCCAGGACAGTTCCCACAAGTCCCACAGTACAGCTGAGCCTCTGCATCCCTAGAGGTGTCAGTGGTCCGCTAACAAAGGGAGTGCAGAAGGGCAGGTCAGGCACCCAGATGCTCGTGGGTGGGGCTGTAAGGTGACAATGCTGCAGGCAACCGAAGCTTACCAGGGTCAGTAATGACACTGTGACTGTGACCAAGTTTCTGCCCTTACTGATTGGCATGCTCCAGAATTCATCTTGCAACATCAAGGATGTCACTGGGGTCATAGAGATATAGTAAATTGGCAGAGCCCTGCCCTTGTGACTGGTCTCAGGGTTTTCTATTGCTCTGAGGAGACACCCTGACCATGGCAACACTTATAAAGAAAACATTTAGTTGAGGGGGCTCGGTTACAGTTTAGAGGTTCAGTCCGTCATGGCGGGGAGCACGGCGGCATCCAGGCAGGCATGGTGCAGGGCTACAGGAGAGGGCTGGGAAGGGGTGTCAGTACACAGAAAGAAGGTCTCCCTGTTGCTCCCATGAGAATAAGGAGTGCTGCCTGTGTAGCCAGCCATGTAATTCACCAGCCAATGGGAGTGGTCCTCGTCCTGAATGAAGACCCCCGGCAAGCAGGCCTGGTTATCTGGAGCAGCTGTAGGCAGAGCAATCCAGGGCACATGTAAAGCAGAGTGGCTATCTTCCAGATGCTTTAAAATGGTGATTGTCTTGAGATCAACTGGAGGAATTGCTGAAGAAGCAGCTGCTTGATTGACAGCTTCTGCCATTCCTGGAAAATGTCTAGGCAGAGTCTGTGCTTGGGCCACCCTGATGGAGCTTCAGGAGTTACAGAAATATCAATAACATCTTGGTTATTTCAGGACCATCGGGGCAATAGCAGTGGCTCTCATTCCTGTTGCAAGGAGGCTGCTTGTTTGTTCCTTGCTGCTCAATCCCGAAATAGCCACACAGAAACTATATTATTTAAAATACTGGCTGGCCAATAGCTTAAGCGTATTTCTGGTTAACTCTTATCCTAAGCTAACCCATCTCCATTGATCTGTGTTTTGCTACAAGGCTGTGGATTACTGGGTAAAGTTCTGGTGTATGTCTCCCAGCAGGGCTACGTGGTTTCTCATGACTCTGCCTTCTTTCTCCCAGTATTCAGTTTAATTTTCCCTGCCTAACTCTGTTCTGCTAAGCCACTGGCCGAAACAGCTTCTTATTTTCATTAACCAGTAAAAGCAACACATAGACACAAGGGGACTCGTTCTGTTCTGCTACCTGACACCTACCCATGTCGTGGGTGCCTGGGTACCCAAGTAGCCAAGTGATGTCTGTCAGCTTCAGTCTACTTAACAGGAAAGAACACGAAGGAGCGCTTGCACCAAACATCTAGTGTGAAATGAATATTTATTTTTGTTAGTGAAGTTTCATCTAATACTTAACCCCAAAGGAAAATATACCCCACTGTGAAGAGGTGAGACCTACTTATCTGTTTCATTATGAAAATCTCACAATTACAGCCAAGATGTAGACTATTTAAAGATGAAACGAGATGTAATAAACACTCAAACAGAGGGGTCACAGGAGGATGCCTTGAGATGATTCTCTTGGACTAGTTTGACATCTCACACTGACACTTGTTTCTTTGGGCATTTCCTTCCTTCTTTCCTTCCCTTCATTTCCTCTTCCTTTTTTGTTTCTCCCAAGCCCACTTCTGTCATCACAGGGAATCGTACAGCCCAGGTTCTTCTGGAAGATTCTCTAAAGCTGAGCCTGGTCCTCAGCTCCCCATCCTCTTGTCTCCAACTCCTAAGAGCTGGGGTTAGTGGTGAGTGACACTCAGGCTTACCTTGGTTATTTAAAAAGATGCTTATCACAGTTTTAAAAAGCATAATTTTAAAATCAATCCAGCTGCTATTTTACCATTATGATTAAACAAAATATACTAAAAATATTTAATCTCAAGTAATCAGCTCTTAATTCACAACAGTTATTGTTATTAATGTTAATATATGATTTTTAATTTGCTTTTCTTATTGTATTTATAATATTTACATATTTCATGAATCATATATTCACTTTATGTGAAAATCTACCAAATGTAGTAACCTTTGCTTTCTATTAGAATTTTTTTTTCTAAAAAGGAAATCCAAATCCATACTCAGGCTTTCAAAAGTAAACTGAGAGATTGATAGTCATAATTTTTCACTTGTTCGTGTGCTGGTATTCCATTGTTGTGAGGAGACACCATGAACAAGACAACTCTTATTAAAAGAAAGCATCTAATTTGAAGCTCACTATTCCAGAAGATAGTAGAGTCTGTGACCATTACGGTGGGAAGAAGACAGGCATGGCGCTGGAGCCGTAACTGGAAAGCTTACATCCTGATCTTCAGACAGCAGGTGACCCCAAGAGATTGGTCCTGACTGGGCAACTGAATCTTCAAAGACCATCCCCAACGACACACCTCCTCCAGCAAGTCCACACCCTCTAACTCTTTCCAAACAGATATACAAAGTGGAACAAAGATCTCAAACATATAAGCCTGTGGGGACTGAAGAGCCTCTGTGCTGTGAGGCTCTGCCCCATCTCTACAGAGTAAAGGGAACTCAGAGAGCAGAGAGAGCATAGTTTCCCATTTAAAGGAAGCAAGGGAAACTGTGGGGTGAAGACTAACGCTAAGAACTTGTTCCCAAAAGAGCAGTGTTTGGATGTGAAACAAGTCTTGTGGGTCTGTGTATGCTTACATGTACGTATGCACTTTGATGTTCTGACACAGATCTTTCTCATTGGAATATTTTCTATTTATATTTGGTGTGGTAGTTTGAATGCAATTGCCCCCCCCCCATAATCTCATAGGGAGTGACACTATTAGGGGTGTGGCTTTGCTGGAATGAGTGTGGCATTGTTGGAGGAAGTGTGCCACTCTGGGGCAGGCTTTGAGGTTTCCTATGCTCAGGATACCACCCAGTGTCCTGATCTCTTGTCACCTGCGGGATGTAGGACTCTCAGATACTCCTCCATCACCACATGTGCCTGCATGCCGCCATGCTCCCTGTCATAATAATTATGGACAGAACCTCTTAAACTGTGAGCAAACCACCCCAATCAATTATTTTCTTCGTAAGAGTTGTAGTGGTCATGGTGTCTCTTCACAGCAATA